AAAAGAATAATTAAAACGAGTTCCACAAAACAATCGACTTCAATTGTGGTAACACCAATTATTATGACTTTAAAAGTAAATTACTGAACCGATTTTGAGAAACATTCTATGAGATCAATCTATAAGTATATCCTTTCAGATAAAAAAAGAATTATCCAAATCGGTTCACAACTGACGGAGTTATGAGGTAACAAACATAAAAAAATACAACCGAATCGAGAATCTTCTTTTTTAAATTGGTTAAAAATAACTTCAATCATAATATATAATTTATTATCAAACAACTCTGTTGGAGATATTACGTAATATTTATACACACAAACATAAAAAAAAATACAGTCAGATTGAGCAGATGCTCTTCCTTTTTAAAGTCGGTTCAAAAATATTTCTCGAGAATAATTCCTATTTAGAAAAAAAAAAAACTTTGTGTATGTTTAAAAAATAAAAACTAAACATTTACAAAGCACTACACATGCATTTCTTTTCTATTCCTGTCATACAAAGTTAAGTGTATAATCTAAACAAACTATATTCAGCCTTAACGTATTATTTATAAGACACTTAATTGCTGTACTTGTTTTTAATGTCAATATAACAGAAAGTTTGTTATCACCAAACGATATGCGACTCTCTGTCCCCGAATATAAAGATCAAATGCACTTTTAATTAAAAGTTAAAACAGAAATAGCTTACTTCGAGCCAGGGTATAATGACAGATTAAGACATCTTTGCGACGAGAAACAAGTATTTTACATTAGAACTTGGAATTTCTCAGTCAACACTTCCAGAAAGGTCGTCATATTTATTATTATGAAGGAAACTTATCAGAGGCATGGATACCTTTATGTTTTTTTATGGGCAATAATGGAATTGTAACCCTCCCCCCCCCCTACACTATGTTTTTTATGAATAACAATGGAGTGGTAACCCATGCAGGGCTAACAGTATACGCTGGCTAGGCAACAGTAAAAGATGATAGGTTAGAATGAAAACGCAGGCCAGTTAGCCCATCGTGATGAATGCACTAGGAATTCAGCATGATGGTTTCCAGGGGAGACCACGTGGAGGTCAATCTGATATGGTATATCGCTAGCAATGGGATTGCTAGTCCGCATTACTAACAATCCCCCCCCCCCCTCCCCCAGGCACCAGTGATAGATCATAGGTCAAAATGAAAGCAGGTCATTTGGCTCATCGTGATGAATTCATTCAAAATTAATCACAATTTTTTTCAGGCGGAACCGCGTGGAGGTCAACCTGTTAGGGTATATTACTAGTAATAACAATAGGCCTAATCGCATTACTAACAATCCCATTCCCCTACTGAAACAAACCATCAGTGCTCGCACATATGTTTCTAATTTATAAAGAAGTTTTCATAATTACCTTAACTACGGTATACACGGTTATAAAAGCGTGCACTGTTTAGTTTTTGACATAGAAAGAACAAAAGACAAACTAGAAAGTGGTCACTTTCCACTTAAAAATGTCAGTGTCACAGTTGAGCAGGTAATATACATAAAATTTGCAAACAAATACACAACATGTGTGATGACGGAGCAGCAATGCAAATAGTTCATCCTTAGTACGATCAATAATTATTTATTTAAGAGATTATTTTTTTGATGGGTGAAAATGGTATGGTAACCCCGCCTGCGCTAACGGTATACGCTGGCGGAGCACCAGTGAAGGGTGATAGATGAGAATGAAAACAGGCCAGTTAGCCCATCATGATGAATTCATCAGGAATTAACCATGATAGTTTTCAGGGAGAACCGCGAGGAGGTCGACCTGGTTGGGTATGTTGCTAGCAATGGGATTTTCAGTCTCCATTACTAACAATCCCTTTCCCCCCAATTTATGAGAATTATTATTGCAGCCGTTAATTGACCACTGCTGAACATAAACCTTCCCCAAAAGGGCAGTTTTACCAGTAGTTGCCACACTTGGTAGGCGGGTTGGTAACCGCAGTTAGACTTTAGAGATGTTTTAAGAGGGATGCTGCTGCCTATCCCTTGTCCTCCCTTAGTCGCCTCTTACCACACCCACGGGAAAGGAAGGGGCGGCCCATTTTATGCCGGGACACACACAGTATTTATTTAATACATGCATATTATTTAATACATGAATCTTATTTATTATCATCATTTCAGTTCACGGCAAAACATAGGCCTTCCCTATAGACTGCCATAAGCAACGGTCATTAGCCACCTCCATCTACTGACTCCCTGCAATGCATTTCAGTTGTCATTCCGTCTGGTACATTGTGTTTGCCACTCAAGAACCTTTCGTCCCCCTCCGTTCTCGGTTTATCGAGCTATGTGACCAGCCCATTGCCATTTCAGCTTGCTAATCCTTTGGATTCTGCTGTAGTCTTCTCCATAGCCCGCTGTGTAATTTGAAGCTTTTGGATACCGAAAATCGTGTAGGACCATGTTTCGGTTCCATAAGTCATCACTCAAAAGTTGGCGTATTATTTAATAAATAAAATAAGTGTTTACACATTAAAAAGGTACATAAATTATAAGACAAAATAAATATAGAAGTCATAAAGGAATCTCATAACTGTAACACGCAAGATTTTATGAAAAAGTTGAACCTTTTTCTCAAATCATTTCTATGGAGACTATCTATATAATCTAAGTCACGTATGTACTAGAATCAATCACTCAAATGTTGTGAAGAGTATTAACTCTGGCCATGTCCAATCATTTATGGAGGGCTGTTTCTCGGTCGTAAATCATACGGTTATTTTTATCGGAGACTAGTTATGTCTTGTTTTATTTATATAGAGCGGTGACAGCCCTGTTGTTTAAGGATTAAAAATTTGTATTTAGATAGAACTGTTGATCCCAAAGGCGGTTGACGTCAGGCAGGTGGCCGGTCGTAAAACTAAAAACCAAATCTTTTTGTAATATGGATAAAATCATATAACGCCGACCCCAAATGATTGGGATGAGGGTAGGAAGATGATGATGATGTTGACTCCATAAGTATTAAATCCCCTAGACAAGTAGCGTGCTAGATTCTATTTATAGAATCTTTTCGGTTAGCACTCCCATGACGAAGTACAAGTACATCGCATGTTATCATCTCATTATTTCATTTTGATCCCAGTATTCTTCACCTAATCACCAGAGGAAGACTTTGTATAAAAATCGTTTGCTGGAGCACCTCTGTTCTACTCGTGTTTCTACCATGAAGCAGTTGTATTTGCATGGCTGTCTTTCGGTTTACAGGGTACAGAGAAATAACACCTGAGTCTTCAGAAATGGCGACGCATGAGGGGTATCATTGGGCGAAACAGTATACTCTGTTATGTCCATGGTACTGCTCATGTCTATAGGCGACGGTTACCACTTTCCATTAGGTGGGCCGTTAGCTTGTTTGCCATTTTGAGTTAAATAAAAAAAATAATTCTTGTCCATGTATGATTCATACATGGGCAAGAGATTGATTATAGCTTTTTATTTTCTTTCTTTGTTTATCGATTAATTTTTTTTTATGAAAAAAAAAGCAACAATTGTATAACATAAAAAGTGATTATTCAAAGGTGCATATTATTAAGTTTACTTGAATAAAAATTATTTATTATTATTATTCGCTAGCGACAACAATTCTACCAATAGATTCGTATGCCACTTGTCTAGAAGGCCTAGCGTGGAGAGAGATAAAACCGTTTTTGGCTTACGATAGATTTTTTTAAATAAATGTAATTGTGACCTCGTCTTTGCAGTTAGTTTATACTGGCAAGAACCAATAAGAATAAGGAATCGAACGTAAGGATGAAGTCAGCGGGTCTACCATGAAATGAAATTCCGAAATTTCGGACTCAATTTCGTGTTTTTGTTTATACCAAAATCGGACCAATAAATGAAGTTTCACATTTCGTTCGTCATACATCCTATCATAAAGGCCAAAGGAACAATATTTTAACATTTTTAATATTTCTAAGCGGAATGTATTATGTAATTTTAACATCTAATTTGTGTTTCGGTTGGCTCCGAAATTTCGGAAAACATTTCATGGTAGGCGTTCAGGTCAATTGGTCTATCTTAACACCGGATTACTGGTGCAATCATCATCGTATCAGCCGTTAACTGACCACTGCTGAACATAGGTCTCCCCCATAAAGAGGGCCGTGTCATTAGTTACCGCGCTTGGCAACCGCAGCTAGGCTGGAGATGTTTAAAGAGGAACGCTGCTGCCCATCTCTCGACCAATAAGCTCCCGTAGTCGACATCTATTTAAATCCATGTCTGAAGGGTTACAAAGGGCGAATTCGCAAAAAACGCAAAAAGCATGCGCCGGCGCTACTACAAATAGTATCCCGCGTCGCGCGGCACGCGAGGTTATAATGGTATCCCGTGTGTATGATCTTAGTCAACATTCTACGAAGTAATAATAGATAGAATATTTAACAAACTACATAACTAACCATCGTGCTGAATTCCAGCTGTATTCATCACGATGGACTAACTAATTTGCCTTTTCATTCTCACCTATCATTCACTGGTGCCCCGCCAGCGTATACCGTTAGCGCAGGCGAGGTTACCATTCCATTACCATCCTGTAAATAAACTGAAGTACACGTGGCAAATTCTACTTGTCAGAGGGTGGAGCGATTATTAGTAATACGGATTATCAGTCCCATTGCTGGCAATATACCCCGTCAGGTCGACCTCCACGTGGTCCCCACTGGACCATCGTGCTGAATTCCAGGTGTATTTATCACGATGGACTAACTGTCCTGCTCTTTCATTTTCACTTATCATCCCTTACTGGTGCTCCGCCAGCGTATACCGTTAGCGCAGGCGGGGTTACTATTGCATCAACACCTTGTAAAAAATAACCTGAAGTAAACGTGGCAAATTCTACTTGTCATCAAAAATGTAGTTATTAAAACTAATATAAAATTATAATTTATCTTTTTGCTATATGTAAAGCATGTACAAACATACGTGAATATAAATGTATTCCATTCTATCCATCAATTACAGAGTGGCGACCAACACACCACACCTGGTAAGCCTCGGCACCGGGCGGCTGAGCACTGCCGTCACCCTACATCCCATCAAACAAGGTAAGCACAGTATAAAGTCGGATAAAAATAACTACTGGCTGTATCACACGACTTCGCCTGCTATATGCTCAACTACCATCTCAGGCCCATGATAAATTCGACGGACGGAGCCCTTTATTTAAAAAAAAACTTATAGTTGTAGATAGATAGTTACTCTTTATTATTTCCTCTAAAAGATTACAATAGTAAACTTATTATAGATAACTTATACCTGCTGCAGATTTTCCCGTATAACTCCATACAACCCGCCACATATTAAAGTTTCATCCCAACCATCTGGATGAGTGGCAGTCTTCCACCGTGTGTTTTTCTAGGCACTTTCTTTCACGCACAACCATTCTGGAATCAACTTCCAGCAGCAGTATTTCCGAACCATACGACATCTTAACCTTCAAGAAAAGAGCATATTCCTTTTTAAAAGGCTGGTAGTACACATGCTATGTCTTTGGTGTTGTGGGTGATCATGGGCGGCGGTAGTCAGAGGGAGACTTTGTACAAAAGTCGATTGCTTGGTTACCTCTGTCCCATTCGTGTTTCTACCGTGAAGCAGTTGTGTTTGCATGGCTGTGTTTCGGTTTGAAGGGTGGGATATGGTGTGAATTTACAGGGTACAGAGGAATAACACCTGAGTCCTCAGAACTGGGCTTCAGCTTGTTTGCTATTCTAAGTTGTATAAAAAAAAAAGTCACCATCAGGTGAGCCGCATGGTCTTTTGCCCCCTGTGTTGTAAAAAAGAATCTTTGATGGAGAGGAGCAATTATAAAAGTTTGATCGGAGTAGTTTCATTTTTGGCCAGGAGCTTCCTTCAGGCCGGGGGCGTATGGCATTTTGCTCGCTCTGTCAATCTATTGTTATGTCGCTGTATGTGCTAAGTTCAAAGATGACCTACCCATCAGTATCAAACTTTATACTATTTTGTTTAGCAGTTTTTGCGTGAAAGAATATCACATATGCATCTGTACATCTTTTATCATCAGTAAATCACAATTATAAAGCCAATATAATTATTGCATATTCAGATGATAGTCTGATAATGATAACAGCCAGTGGTCAATGGTCACGGTGACGTCACATACCCGTCTCGCTCGCTCATGCCCACCTACTTCAGGCTGCTGTAGGGTTGTCCCCACCCTGAAGCTTGTTATTAACATGCTATTGTATAGTATTTATTATTCTAGTGGCATAAGTCGGTTGATTAATTCAAATTAATTAACCGACTTCATAAAAGGAGGTTTTAATACGGTTGTATTTATTCTATGTTTGTTACGATTTGGAAAATTCTTTTTTTTTTCTGAAAGGATATACTTACAGATTGGTACCACGGAAATTTTATCAAAATCGGTTCAATAGTTTAGTTTTTAGATCAAAATAACTGCAGTTAAGAGTTAAAATAAAAAAGTACAATCGCATTCAGAACTTCCTTTTTTTCGAAGTCGGTTGACAAAGAGTAACAGCCAAGTTTCTTATAGTATCTTGACGATTTGAACTGTTTATTGATATTAAATGGTAGTTAAAAAAAATTACGTAGTCATTAGAAACAAAAAAATGTCCTATATGAATGAATTATGATTTTGCCTTTAATTCGCTACTGTCTAAATGCTAAATTACCTACTGCTAACTTACGTCAGACGTAATTTAAATTGAGAAATAGATCTGAAATAGAGAACTAATTTTCTTCGTTTCCTATTTCAGTATAAATAATTTAAGATTTTGTTCTATAAAAATGCTACTCTAATCGTAACAAAATCAGTTATTTTAATTTACAAACTAAATTACTCATTCGATTTTGATAAAAAACCTATGAGACCAATCTGAATATGTATCTTTACAAATTGAAAAAGAATTTTCCAAATCGGTTTACAGGGGGAAAGGGATTGTTAGTAATGCGTTCAAACAGCCTCATTACTAGCAATATACCCTGTCAGGTCGACCTCCACGTGGTTCCCCCTGGAAACCATTGTGGCTAATTCTAGTTGAATTCTTCAGGATGGGCTAACTGACCTGCTTTCATCCTCATCAGTCATCTATCACTGATGCCCCGCCAGTGTACACCGATAGCACAGACGGGGTTACCATACCATTATTATCCAAAAAAAATTGGTTCACAAATGACGGAGTTAAAAAGTATAACACATAATACAACCGAATTAAAAATCTCCTTCGAAATCGATTATAAATGAAACATGCAAGTGACAGCCCTATAGCAGGGTGATTGTATTGAGATTGCGAACGAGAAGCCGGTTCCATACCGTAACACGATTGCCTTGAAATAACCTTTGCTTAATAAATATACGACATACGACATAGTTTTTGCTATGTCTACATTATAATACGAGTAAAATTGTACAAATGTCCGCGACATTTGTACCGTACTAGCGATCCGTCCAGGCTTTGCTCGGATAGTGAGAAATTAATATACAGTCTTATGTTACTGGCTGATAATGGTAGCTTACTATAGGTGAAAGAATTTTTAAACTCAAGTAGTTTTTGTGTTTACAGTTTTAAATAAACAAACGTACAAAAAATAAAATCTTTCCTCTTTATAATATTGGTATTTATTATTTTTATATTTGTAAATATAATTTTAAAATATTTATTGTTGTATAACTTGTGTTAATAATAATAATAGTTAATGTTCAAGTGTTGGCACTCGCACACATACTAATGGTGGCGGAATTAAACAAAATAATCCTAAACAAATAACCAGTGATATGGACTTCTGTAAAATAACGCCTAGTTCAATAAAAAAAAAAAAATATAATCTATACTTATAATAAATCTGTAGAGAGGTCAATTCTGTACAAGAAATATATTTCCAAAATAACTATCAGCGGGTGATCAGTGATCGATACTGATGCCAAAAATGCAATCAGTAAAATTTTTGTCTGTCTGTCTGTATGTTCGTTATAGAAACAAAAACTACTCGACGGATTTTAACGAAACTTGGTACAATTATTCTTCATACTCCTAGGCAGGTTATAGTAAACTTTTCATCATGCTACGATCAATAGGAGCAGAGCAGTGAAGGGAAATGTTGGGAAAACGGGAGAAGTTACTCCATTTTTAAGCTTCCGTCGCGTGTGCAGCCTTAATGGCCACTTTTTAAAATGTAAAAATGTCCACCCGTGCGACGCCGGGACGGGCCACTAGTATCCTAATATTACTGGTCACCCCGCCTTGTGCTATCGGTATACGATAACGGGGCACCATTGATAGATGAGGACGAAGGCATGTCAGTTGGTCCATCATGAAATTTCGACATGAATTTACCACGATGGTTTCCAGAGGGAACCGTCTGGAAGTCGACCTGATAAAGTATATTGCTAGCAATGGAACTGTTAGAACCCATTACTTACAATCCCTCCCCCCCCCCCCACCAGTAAAAAGCTATTAGCCATTCAAAACTAAAATCTTCTACAAAACAATTTTAACTATTACATTGTTTTGTCGCTTTCTTTCAAATTGGGAATTTAACACAAAAGAAAGAGACAGTCCGTTAGACAAAATAAATTTAAGATATATTTGACGTTTTTATGAATAAGGGAATTAAATTAATGAGAATTTAAATCAATTAGCTTATTTACCAAGAGATAAAGCATGAAGCATGCAAAGCCAGCGGCGAAGTTTGCCTCGTCTCAACTCAAAGAATTAATTATACGACGACACAGGAAATCGATTAGAGATAATAAAATAAATTGCCATATTTGAATATTAACACGTAATAAATTTTATACTTTTAATAAAATTAAGATTTATTATAAAATTGAATTCTGATCAGTATGACGAATATTTAAATAAATTTATACTAATCTATACCTATATATACCTTAGATTATATAGATAGAGTTTAGAGGATATTATAGTTTTTTAGTAATGTTTTAATTAATATTTTCGTTCCAAATAAATAGTACATTACTGCAGCGGCCAGCAACTGAGGCATTGATGGATGAACGTGCAAATGTGAGCCGAGGCGTAGCCGAGGCACACGTACATCCTTCAATGCCTAGTTGTGGCCAAGGCTTGTTTGTATAGTACTTTTCTCAAACAATGCGCAGAAATCAAAAACACAATTTTACTTTTTAAGTTTTTCTTTTTTAATAAACAGCTTTCTATTTGCAAGTCAGTTCAAAATTTTAATAAAACCTTTTATTAGTTACCTCCTTGGTAACCATGGTTCGAAGTAAAAGGTCATTCCATTTTTAAATTACAGGACAGATATGAGTTTACATAGTAATTTATCTGGCCGCAAAACACGACAGATACGGATTTTCATACAACTTTTGCCGGCCGCTGTCCGCATGTATCTGGCCAGTACGGCAATTTTGATTTATCTCGAAGAAGATTGCCAAAATAATGCTTGAGAAAACATTATTATTTATATTATAATATTATAGAATATATCGATTTCTTTTTTTAAGGTAGCAAATGCAAAATATTGTTTATATTTATACCTATTCTATGACGTTACAGGTCGTGTGACAATCGGCTCGGACCCGACATGCGACATCTACGTGGTGGGCACCGGGGTGGCGAGCGTGCACTGCCGCGTGGAAAACTCCCACGGCGTGGTCACGCTGTACCCCACCAGTGGGAGCACGCTGCTCGACGGGCTGCCGGTCGACAAGCCCACGCGGCTCTCGCAGGGTTAGTGGTATTATTTATTAGATCTTTTCCTTGATTTCCTTGCGTGTATCGTATATAAAATATCCTCCTGTTACATCAGGATATAATCTGCGTTTTGCAAAAAATTACATTCAAATCTGTTAAGCCGTTTAAGTGTGATTGATTAACAAATATATAGAGATCCATAAATCCAAACAAGAATCTTTCACATTTATAATATTATTAATTTTTACTTTATATCTAACTAAATCTACTAGATTTTGCCTGTGACTTCGTCTGCGTGACCGAGATATGTTTAGTGATTAAGATAAAAAACCTATTTGCTCCTCTATCCAATATACACCAAATGTCATTTGCAACTAAGTAAGCCATTAAGCCACTTAGAGATTCTTTTAATGGTATAAAATGGAATGGTAACCCCGAATGCACTGTCATATAGAATAATATGAAGAAACCTCTTTACCCCCCCCCCCCCCCCCTCCCCCTTAAAGAACTCCGTGTCTTAGTCTAGTCTATTGGGTCTTAGTCTTTTGGGAAATCCTCGGCAGAGAGCTCATTCCATAACCTGAGTGTTCAGTCCAGTTGGTAATTTCTGGTGAATTCATCACGATATGACATGACAACAATCAACAGACCTGACTTCATCCTCACCCATCATCTCTTACTGCTGTCCCCCCACCGATAGCACAGGCGGGATATTTTCACCTATATAAAAAAGTCAACAGAAACTAGAAGCCTCCTTACTCCTCCCTTATAGGCGACGGGTTACCAATTACAATCAGGTAGGTCATCAACTTTGTTCTAAGGTGCATAAAAAATGCTGGTTATCATTACAGGCAGCATGCTCACCATAGGCCGCTCGAACTACCTCCGCTTCAACCACCCCGAGGAGGCGATGCTGATGAAGTCAGTGCTGCCCTCTGCACACGTGTCAATGGCGCCGATACAGTTCCAGCCGAACGAGCACTGCCTAACTGGTTATTATTTCTTTATTTATTTAACTCTTTATTGCGGGAGGAAGAGATTGTTAGTAATGCGAACTACCAGTCTCATTGCTAGCAATGTAGCCTGTCAGGTCGACCTCCACGTGGTCCCTCTCTGAAAATCATCGTGCTGAATTTCAAGTGTAGAAACACAAATGGGACAGAGGCACCCAAGCAATTGACTTTTATACAAAGTCTGTCTCTTAAATTTGCTTTGACATTGCCGGGACCACACGGCGGTCAAACCGTTTAAAAGACCATTATCAAGGGACTAAGTTACCAATCCAAATTAAAATGGGGAAAAGACATACCATTCTAGTATATATTCACCCTATTTTAATTTAGCTATCATTTTTTTTATTTTATTCGCATATAAACTTTTCCATGTAATATATTAATTATTGTATTAAACTTTTTAAACCAAACGCTTTGTTCCACTTCATTTTCCTTTCTTTTTTCAGGTTACGTCGCTCACCACTCAGACCCCAGCAACCAATGTTACCAAACCACCAACATACAAAATATATACAAAAACAACAGTCTCACGCAACTAGATCACGAATTAGACATGACACTCAAAGAAATGTCTAGAAAGAAACCACCAGTCGCGCCCAGGAAACCTTACAGAGATCTAGACCAGTCAGATTCAAACTCAGACCAAGAGTCTAGACCGAAAGTTTCCAGCATCATGGCTAAAGTGTCCAAATTCGAATACTACGCGAAACAACAGAAAGTAGGCCGTAGTCAGTTTTACACGTCGAATGAAAACGAAATATCTCCTAAAGTCTTTAGCTCCAATTCGTTAACAGTAAACACCCCAGCAAAAGACGTTTTAGGTGGCAAAAACGTTCCTAACTACATAAATAAGAGCAAACAAGAACAGAAAGTAATACAAGTCAACGAGAATAATTTAGATTCTAAAAATTGTTCCTATGCAAACGTAGCAATAAGGAACAAGAATAAAATAGATGATATAGTTAGAAATTTTGATGATAACTCCCGCAGTGATATAAATAGGTTACCGAAGAAAGTTAATAATGATCAACAAGTAAAAACTGACAATATTTATGGAAGAATAAATCCGAAAAATGAACAGAGTGAGAAGATTATAGATACATACAAAAACAATATTGAACCTTGCAAGAATAATGTAGAGCCGTGTAAAAATATTGTTGAAACTTCTCGAATAGATACTGATATAGAACAGTCTAGAAGTGATGTGTACGGAAGAGTGTGTGATAGAAATTTGGGTGCTTCGAAACCCATAAATCTACCATCATCAGCGTACGACAGGAATCCACAGTATTCTCCCGTTTACACCAACTGTCAGTACGATAGAAGTTTGGAAGCTGAAAATAAGAGGATGAGGGTATGTATAATTATTATTATTTTAGGTTTTAGCCAATTATCCCCATTAAGAGTGTTCAGTGAAATTTAACGGCTTCGAAACGCTTCGCACTGGTGTACTAATGATGATATTTTATGATTTTGTGCCGAAAAAACACTGACTTCAGAGGTGGCAAAACAAGAAACTAAACCAATAAACCCATTTTCATAGAATTCTTATAGGACCAATTTGAAAATATATACAGTGGATTTCATTTATTACGACATTGGTTGTAGCGACCATTTGCCTATAGCAACGTTAAATCTAAGTCCCTTGAATTTAAAGCATACTTTAGTACAAAATTCATATAGCTATAGCGACTTTGGATGTAACGCCGAGTTCGGGTGTAACGATTGTTTTTAATGAATCATTTATATCAAATTCCTAGAAATCCCATGCAGATATTGCGACCGAAGTTGGCCGCTAAAAAGACACCAAGATTTCTTTCTTTCACAAACATTTCTAACCTTTTATTTACATCCACATAGATGGTCAGCAAGTGTGGAGACCTTTACCTATTGTTTATAGATATCAGCTACGTAGGTAGGGAAGCGTTTTGAAATTGAATTTATGGTTTAGTTACAAAGTGATATTCTGAGTAGCAACTGAGTTTAGTAAATTTTTGGATAAGTATGACTGTCTCGACTCACATTCACTGTTAAAGAAAAGGTGGAAATCATTTCTTAACTGAAAGACGGTGAAAACAATGCTGATTTGTGCGAAGAAAAAACTATACATGTGTACCTGTATGTATCTCTTTACGTTTGCCTGTAACGACTTCAGGATATAGCGTCGAAAATAGAGTGGTCCCTTCATCGTCGTTATACCCGAAATCCACTGTATATCCTTTTAGATAAAAAAAAAGAGAATTTTACACCACAGCCTGCAGACATTATTATATTAATAATTAATCTTATAAGAGAATAAACATTAGTGTTTTCTTTAACTATTGCAAATATATTTGTAACTGAATAAATTATTTTATTATTATTTTTTTTTTTTTAAATTTTACTATTATTTTTATTTATATTGTATTTAACATCTCCCTTTTTATGGGGGTAAATGTTCAACCATGCGGGCCTTAGCCAAGCAATGGTTGACTTTAAATTATATATGAGGACGATGACAATGATCAGGAAAGAAATTTTCTGACTATGCGGCAGGTATTGAGGATGACCGCTTTCTGTAGCAAATCTATTGTATAGATAGGAATTTGTAACATATCTAAATGCTTGTGAAGATTTTTGGGTACGATTGCTGTAGACGATAGTACTATGGGTATTATGTGGATGGTGTGCGCTTTCCATTTTATTTTTATAATTTTTAAATTTTACCAAAATTCTCATCTCCCCTCTTAAGGAGAGGAGATGGCAACTAACCCCCGGCAGAAGCACAGTCGGCCGGGGTTCAGGGCCCCAGGGAGAGAAACCGGCGTACAATGCGGGCAGAATCTAAGAGCACCGCTTTCTGCATCTTTCCCGGGAGTGAGCCGCCTCGGAATCCCAACCGTCTGAGATGTTGTTCCAGACTGGTTGGGATAAGACCGTTCACCGACATAACGATTGGAATGATTTCGGTAGATGTCACCCCCCACATTTCGGTCACCTCGTGAGCCAGGTCGAGATATTTTCTCTTCTTTTCGGTTTCGGCTTTCACGAGGTTCTCGTCATGCGGTATGGTGACATCCACCAAAAACACCCTCGAAAGTGCCCGGTCCATCACCACGATATCAGGTTTGTTCGCAAGAACAGTCCTGTCCGTGATGATGGATCGGTCCCAGTAGAGCCTGACGCTGTCGCTTTCGAGGACCGGCTGTGGCTCGTACTTATAGTACGGCAACCTCTCATTCGCGAGGCCGTACTTCAGAGCTAGCTCTTGATGGAGTATTTTGGCTACCTGGTTGTGCCTGTGCAAGTACTCTGTGTTGGCAAGAGCTGAACAACCCGAAAGCACATGTCTAAGTGACTCCGGGATGGCGACATGCTCGACAGATGTCCTCAGTGCCATCCTTCAGAATGTGCTTTCGGTAATTGTTCGTCTTAACCACCTGATCCTGTATTGCACAGACAAAACCCTCGGTCTCTCCGAAGAGATCACCGAACTGTAGCCAGTGCACGGAGGTCTTCGTGTTTACGTACGGCCCGTGAAGGGCTTTGAAGAACCTTCCGTGCAACTCCTTCTCTTTCCATACGGCCTCCCGCTGAGAGGTACCCAAAACTTCGGGTTTTCGCCAGTCCTCTTTAGCCAGAGAAAGAGGGGTGAATCCTTTGTCACATTCTATGACCTCTCTATGCAAACCCTCGTCTCTTTTCTCCAGAAAATATGTCCTGAGGCTGTCAATCTCGCGGTTGTGCATGGTCTTAACGCTTAACAAGCCTCGACCACCAGCTTTCCGCGGGATATACAGCCTCATGACTGACGATTTCGGGTGATGCATTCTATGGAGGGTCATAGTTGTGCGGACTTTCCGATCCAGGGCTTCGAGTTCGGTTTGAGACCATCTGAGCACGCCAAAAGTGTAAAGGAGTACGGGTATGACCCAGCCGTTATAAGCCCGGACTTTATTGGCGCCCGACAAGGAACTTTTCAGTACTCTTGTAAGGCGCGCAAAAAATTCCTCGCGAACTGACTGTTTCACATCCGTCTCCCTCACACCGATGTTTTGTGACATGCCCAGATACCGGTATGTTTCAGCCTCGGAGAGGGTTTTAATATTAGAGGGATCTGTGGCGATCTCTTCAGTTTGAGTGACCCGTCCCCTCTGCACATGGAGGACCGCGCATTTGTCTATTCCGAGTGCCATCCTAACAGAGCTGCTATAATCGTTTACGATATTTAGCAGCTCCGTCAGGCGTTCGACACTCGGAGCTAGTAGTTTCAAGTCATCCATGTACAGAAGGTGAGACACTCGTGTACCTCCTCTCCGATACTGAAATCCAGTCCCCGAATTCTCCAGTAAAGTACTGAGAGGATTCAGGGACAGGCAAAACCAAAGTGGACTCAAACAATCACCCTGGAATATTCCCCTCTTGATCTCTATCCGGTCAGCGGTATCCGTCAATCGCTCGCCCTGGATAGTCAGGATCGTCGTCCACCGCCCCATGCATGCCTCCAAGAACACTCGAACTGTACCGTCGATCTTGTACAGCTCCAGTATCCTCCGGAGCCATGAATGGGGCACGGATTCGAACGCCTTTTTATAATCTATCCAGGCGGCGGAGAAATTCCGACGGTTCCGCTTGACCACGTGCCTAGCGACAGCATCAATGAGGAGCAACTCCTTCGATCCGCGGCTACCGCCCCTGCATCCGTTCTGAGCGCTAGATAGGATCTTATTTTCGTACACATGACGAGAGATCTTAGCGCTCAGAACGGATGTTAACGTCTTATATATTGTAGTAAGACAAGTGATGGGGCGATATTTAGATGGATCCGCGGTATCGTCCGTCTTAGGAGCTAAATGAGTGATCCCGGTTGTAAGGAAGTTCGGGAGCGTCCTGTTTTCGAGGGCACTCTGGAATTGCACGGCTAAGGTCGCATGGCTGGCCGAGAACGCCTTTAACCAGTAGTGTTGCAATCCGTCGATCCCCGGACTTTTCCAGTTCGGAGCCCGACGGATCGCGGCAACCACGTCTTCCACCGTAATGGCAATTGCGTTCATCGGCGTTATTCGAGCACATGCTTCCTCAACATCGTGCATCCATGCGCTCTCCTCATGCTCCACAGGTTCAGACCACAGCTGTCGCCAGAAGGCGACGAAATTGGCTGTTTCTGGTCTTTCTCCTGTGGGCTGCAGTTTTGGGCGCTCCAGGTTCCTATAGAACTTCCGTTGATCACTCATAAAGAGACGATTCTGTTGATACCTCTCCACCCTCTCAGAGTACCGTCGGAGTCGCTTCCCCCATGCAGCGATCTTCTGCTTCAGATCGTCTATACGCTCCGCGAGTTTTTGCCCGAAGTCCGGCTGGAACAGACGTACACCTGTCCCAGCAAAGGCCTCTTTTACGGAGCGCATAATTCTCGGGCGTGTATTGCCCTCCCTGAAGCAGAGCAGTCTGCCAATGAGAACCCTGGCCTGGGTGATCCGTCGCTCAATTCTTCTTTTCCAGGCTGGTTTCGCATTATCCCTTCGGATATTACGTCCAGCCCGGGGCATTTTTGCGCCGGTATATCGGCATACTGCCAACGCAGCGCCGAATAAGATTGAGCTCGTCTCTCCCAGGTCACCGCTGCCCTCAAGGTATTGAGGCAGCAGTGTATTTGTGGTCTCAATGGCATCCCGCGTCGCCACATTTGGATATATCCGGGGAAGCTTCGGTCTCTCTTCGAGGGGAGTTCTTCGGATCTCTAGAATCGCCTCCTCTAGTATGCTCCTCATATGCTCTATGTCCTGGGAAGTTGTTCCGTCCACATCCGCTTCTGAAGGCGTTTCGGCAACCACCTCTACGCTAGGTAACACGTCCGAGATGGGTTGCTCCGTGGTCGCCAAGCCTGCTTCTGGAACAACTCCACTTCGCAATCGTTCGAGTTCGGTCGCGCTAAACATACCAGAGCGCTGTATGTACCGAACTCTATCGGCTAGGTTCTGTTCCGAGACGGTTAGATCCGGTAAAAGACGCAGAAACTCGCGGTGCATTACTGCCCGATATCCTGTTCTACCTGTTTCTGTCCCTGTAGCCCTGTAGAACGCACGCATGAGGTCCTCATTCATAGTTCTCGTCCACCTCATGCGGCGTGTACCACCAGTGGCGGGCGCCGATTGCTGGGCCTGAGACGGCCCTGCCGGCGCCAAGCCAGCTGATGTCGATGGCGAGGGGTCGGACCGGCCAGATGGCGCGGCCGGTCGGCTGGCTCGCATTCTGCCGCGCCTACCGCCAGTTGTAGACGCGCCCCGGCGGCCCCCGGGCAGCGACCCTATCCTGTCTTCTTTATTTGTACTCGCCATCTTTTTATTAGCCATTTCCCTTTTAGCCGCGTAAGTTTTAGTACGCGTGACCGCCTTTCGCGTGAGCTAGATGTTCAGCTCGGACGCGGGGTTGGACTTTGAAAGGCTTATTTTTATTATTATTAAAATTTTAATTATACGTTATTTATTGTTAGTGCAAAAAGCGGTCTTATCGCTAAAGCAATCTCTTCCAGACAACCTTTAAGTAGAGGAGAAGAGAGACGGTAGCTATTTGGCACAAGGAGTATAACAATTAAAACAAACGCTCGTGTTAAAGAAATAAACATATGAATACCATACACATATCTAAAAACTTATAATAGTTATATTATATTAATAAATATATAAAATGGGGGAAAAGGGATTGTTAGTAATGGAGACGAAGAATCCCATTGCTAGCAATATACCCAATCAGGTCGACCTTCTCGCGGTTCCCCCTGGAAACTATCATGATTAATTCCTGATGAATTCATCATGATGGGCTAACTGGCCTGTTTTCATCTTTATCGATCACCCTTCACTGGTGCCCCGTCAGCGTATCCCATTAGCGCAGGCAGGATTACCACTCAATTTTCATCCAATAAAAAAAAAATATAAAATACATCTAGATATATAGCTTTATTTTTATGCTACTTAGAATGGCAAACAAGCTGACGGCCCACCTGGTGGAAAGTGGTAACCGTCGTCTATAGACATGAGCAATGCGATTAATTACTAGTCGTAGACATAATATAATGATTATTGTATTGTTTTTAAAAAATCTTGATTATTCCTTTGTTAAGTATGCACAGTTGCCATATTTTTATCTATTGTACAAATATACTTTATCTATTTTTGTGTATTATGAATTTAGACGGTGACGTAGGCGTTTCAATGCTACAGTCCGTCTTAAGATTATGCGAGGATATATTTAAAAAAATATATTAAATTTTACACACGATCGGAACATGTCCCATGTGGTCCCGGCATAGAATGAGCCACCCCTTCCTTTCCCGTAAGTATCGTAAAGGGTGACTAAGGGAACCCTAATAGTCGAGTCGAAGGGCAGCAGTGTCCCTCTTTAAACGTCACCAATGCCTAACTGCAGTTGCCAACCCGTCTGCCAAACAGCAACTACTGGTAAAACCTTCCAATAAGGGGGGGAAAGGGATTGTTAGTAATGGAGACTGAGAATCCCATTGCTAACAATATACACAACCAAGTCGACCTCCTCGCGGTTCTCCCTGGAACCTATCAATGTTAATTCCTGATGAATTCATCATGATGGGCTAACTGGTCTGTTTTCATTCTCATCTATCACCCTTCACTGGTGCTCCGCCAGCGTATCCCGTTAGCGCAAGCGGGGTTACCATTCCACTTCCACCCATCAAAAAAAACCTTCCAATAAGAGCAGGTTGTTGTATAATTAACAGTCTGTTAACGGCTGATATGACGATGATGATGAAGAGTATCAACAAATCCGCTACCGCTACCTCTTATTCCCAAGCCACAGCCTTACCGCATTCGACCTTCAGATTACAACATATGATAATGTCTTATTTGATTACAACTGAATTAATGAAACGTTATCATTTGATAATGAAATACGCAATGATAAAACAAAACCCACTCGGTTTCAACCAAAGTACACATTAGTAAAAATTTGCCCCTTGATAATGTGCCTTTGTTAAAGTTAAAAAAGTTCGAGAAGTTCGCTACCGACGCTTTGGTTGTGTATTAAAAAAAAAATCTAAGGTTATTGTTGCCGTGTTTCAAATACGTTATGTGATATTTACACGCAATGTCGAACTGTCGATTAAAAAAATTCATTTCTTAACACAATTGTTTGGTAGTTTATAATTGGATGCGGTGAAGGCTTTACGCTTTTGATTTGGAGTCTAAGTGTGATTTAAAAAAATAGTGTGTTTAAATACAACGAATTGTCAATTAAAAAAAAAAAAGGATTCAAGTCCAATGAAATCGTGCTCGATGATTGATACAACAGTTTTAGATACAATACTAATATCGTATATATTTATTTTCTCATTAGTTATATATGTGAGAAAACATACAATGATAGTCAAGAACATACATAGAAAACAAAGGCAACCGTCATACAAAAATCTCCTTAAATTATTCACGACGAGTGTAAAGAAAAACACATTAGCTTTAAAAGAATTGAAATTAGCAATCGATACAAACAACAATCGAGATTGTAATTACGATAAAATAGTCGATATATCGAATGAGGTGAACGAGAAACTCGACGTAGTGCATAAGTTAAGGAACGATATAACAATATATAAAACCATTAATACAATATTAACAAATTATTATATAAGACAAACAAAAAATAACGAGAACAATGTATATAACAAAATATTAAACTTGGAGGAACAAATTAAAGAGTCGTATGACCAATTGAAAAAACATATAACCAATATGGCGGACACAGTCAGAGTTGCCAGTGAAAATAATTTAATTAAACACAACTCTTCGATTGAGAATAGTAACGTGTTTGTTGTTGGTAACGATGTAAAGTGTAAACAGTTTCATCAACTGTTTAAGAGGAATGAAATGTATAATCACATTATAATGAAAATTGATAAAATATTTTGCGGTTCGGTAAGTTTCTTCTTCTTTCTTTGTATTTGCCTTTTAATTTTTTTTTTATGGATAAAAATGGAATGGCAACTCCCCCTGCGCTATCGGCGTACACTGGCGAAGCACTAGTAATAGATGATAGGCGAAGATGAAGGCGAGACGTAGGCAAACGACCATTAGTTTACTTCACTTCGATCGTTCATTTCAACAGAACACCAATGAACTAGATTACACACACTTTGATAATTTCATAAAATTCTGATGTAGCAGGAGACTGATGTAAAAGTAACGAGATAAAATATAATAAATATAATGCAGTATTTTTATTAAATTTAATGCTAACAACGAAATTACACAAACACATTAAAAGTTCATTTATTAAGGATTTATATTTCAGTGTAAAAAATCTATTTTATTTCTAAAACTGGGTTATTGTTAAGCATCAAAGCTTTTGTTTTATACAATAGACATGTCAGGAGACTGAGTAATTGACTCTTCAAAGTATAATTTTTGTATATATACATGTTTTAGAATCGAGCTTATTTTCAGTGCCGTAATAGAAAAAGTTAGGTTTTCAGGCTTGGTTGCAAATTAAAGATATAAAATTTAAAAAACAATATACGAAATACGAAGAGCCGTTGAAAATTCCATCAAGAATAGAACCATCCATATAACTTATCCATAATACATAGTGCTTCAAAGATTCGGCCATTATTATGACCCTTCTTGTTTACAGTCGGCTAAAAAATGAATGACTAATACGAGGTTTGTCCGGAAAGTACGTATAAAAGTTTTTTAAAAATTTTATTTTACAATTATTCAGGTAAATCAATTTTATCCCCTTCAAAGTACTCCCCCTGTGACATAATGCACTTGTGCCAACGCCGTTTCCACTGTGAGAAGGCTCCTTGAAAGTCCTCTGGTTGTAGGTTTCTCAGCTGCCCCGTCGTAGCTTTTTTTATCTCATTTATGTCCCCCAAATGCCGCCCCCGAAGTACCAATTTGGTTTTTGGGAACAAGAAGAAGTCACACGGGGCCAAATCCGGCGAATAGGGGGGTGTTCGGTCACCGTAATGGAATTTTTACTCAAAAACTCACGGACAACAAGAGAGGTGTGGGCAGGGGCATTGTCGTGGTGAAGAATCCAACGCCCCTCTCGCGCCAATTCTGGACGAACTCGTGCCACACGAGCTTTGAGGCGTCTGAGCACATCGACGTAGAATTTTCCATCAACTGTCTGGCCTGGAGGGACGAATTCTTGATGGACAATCCCCCGAACATCGAACTCTTTCTCGGCCCTCTCTGAATCGTTTTAGCCACTTGTGGACGGTTGGTTCCTTCACAGCATCATCCCCATAAACTGTTCTGAGATCGGCAAAAATTTCACGGCCATTCTTGCCGAGTTTCGAGAGAAACTTGATTACGACGCGCTGCTCTTCAACGGAAGCGGGCTCCATGCCGACGGGGTTTCGTTAAGAGGTAACTTCACAGATGGCGTGACAAGCCAGTTCGCACCGCACGGCGGTCAGACCAGAACTGAAGCATTGTTAGGGACATAAGGAAGGGGTCCTGCGCTTACCTGGCCTCCCCACTTCTCTTTCTCGCATTCCAGAACACTTTTATACGAACTTTCCGGACAGACCTCGTAAAATGGCACAGATTACAAAATATACTATCGATAATGTTGGTAATTTTTTTTTTTAATGTTTCAAACGGCTAAAGATTACCAGATAACCAACCGTGGGCTTATCGTAAATCAACATACAGTATCACTTTACAGTTTTCTTCAAACATGTAACTAACATAACCTATATTTGGTTGATATTTTAAAATCTGTATTTATTGTTCAATTATTGGTGTTTTTTTTTTTTAATATATTTTTTTAAATTCTATTCTGAATAGTTAAGAACTATGAGACTAATCAATAGTCAAATGGATTGTGTACCTGTATTGTGATTTATCGGGTAAGAAACTTATATGTAATCACTATATCATCCATTATATTGCCGTGTAGTAGTATAGCAATACTAGGGGTATTACGCGCCTGCTGCCGACCCTGAAGAAACCTCTTTACCACACTTTTGAAGAACCCCATGCTGTAGTCTCTTGGGAAACCTATGTCTGTAAATAGGTAAAGAGGTTTCTTCAGGGTCGGCAACACGCGTCTAATACCCCTGGTATTGCAGGCGTTTATAGACTACGGTAACCGCTTACCATCAGGTGGGCCGTATGCTTGCCACTTCAGTGGTATAAAAAATAGTGTTATTACAATTTTTTTATATTAGTAAAACTAGTAACATTAATTGTTGGCAGGCGTACCAGGACAGAATCAAGGAAGAAGAGCAGAAAGAAGCCGAGACGGCGCGGCTCGAAGAGATCCTAAATATGTGCGCCGAGTACGAGAGGCAAATATCATCAGGTCTGTACGACATTTGGAAAATTATATTTAAATTTATTTATTTAACTCTTTATTGCACCAGAAAAAATACAGTGGCATAAATACAGATTTAAATATACACCATAAAGGGTACAAACGGCTGCTCACGTAATCCTGGAATGTGAGCCTATCAACGTTTAGAAATCCTCGGAACGGTGAGGTCGCTCCGTGAGGCCTGTGAATAACCTGGGAAACTTCTGCGCTTCTGGGCGGAGCTAGGTTGGCTGCACTAGCCACGACTCATACGCACAATGGCCATATTTTTTTTTCAATTCACATTCACATTCACAAGGGTACAAAAGGCGGTCTTATCGCTAGGGCAATCTCTTACAGACAACCTTTGGTTAAAGGAGAACATAGAGAAATGGGCAGGTGGCGCATGCGTGAAATAAATAATTTTTACGTGCATAAAATACATATTTAGTGCTAGATTTTTGTCCGCTACTTCTTGCACGTGTATTTCAATAAGTAGGAAACTAATAAAATAAACCACTAGATGGCGTTATCAAGATAAAACATACACCACATTTTAAATTTAATTTTAGGGAATACAACTGTAAAAATCGCATCTAATTCGGTGCAGTAGTTGTTGCGTGATATCTGAACAAGTATACAGACAAATTTACTAAGTTTTTTTTGCCATCTATTGCTCTTATTAAGACTTCTAATATCAAATTTTCTTAAATATCTCCCATGTACAAATATCGTCTACTTACAATTTAAAGAGACAGAGTCACCTGTATGCACTAGTGTTTTGAGATAAGTGTTTATACCCGGTTTTCTCTGCCTCTTCTATTCTCTCAAGGGGCTGAAGGTATTTTTTGTTTATTGTGTACTGATTACTTTGTTTTCAACGTTCCATTATTGTAATTATTTCAGGGAACCCAATCACACCCACCGAAAAGAGGTCGCACAACAAAATCATAACGAACGGGTCTCTACCGCGCAGCGTCGCGCTGAACAACCCTAATTTTATACAAACCAGCGAAGGTTATTATAAGTAAGTACTTACTTATGTATACCTATTTATATGTACCTATTTATATGATATTAAACTAGCTTTTGCCCGCTACCTCGTATGCGTGATTTTCAGAAATAGGAAAACCATTGCAGTGGACCGCTTCTAGGTTTTTTTTTATACAACTTAGAATGGCAAACAAGCTGATGGCTCACCTAATAGAAAGTGGTTACCGTCGCCTATAAACATGAGCAGTATCATGGACATAACAGAGTATACTGTTTCGTCCATGATACCCCCCATGCGTTGCCATTCCTGAGGACTCAGGTGTTATTCCTCTATACCCTGTAAATTCACGCCATATCCCACCCTTCAAACCAAAACACAGCCATGCAAACACAACTGCTTCACGGTTGAAACACGAATGGGACAGAGGTACCCTAGCAATCGACTTTTGTACAAAGTCTCCCTCTGGAGTATCAATGGCGTATAAAATGAAACGTACATCAGTTTTTAAATTAGATCTTCAGGAAATCAACTGTGAAAACCACATCCCATTTCGTGCAGTAGTTTTTAAAGAAACTGAGAAAGTGATTGAAAATTATGTTTTGGCTTCTATTGCTCTTCTAAAGATTCATGGTGGATCTTAACAATTTTTCTTAAATATCTCCCATGTACAGACAACGTCTAGTTACAATTATTATTTATATATTAGTAAGACTGTATATATACATATGTAAACAATACTCTGCCGAGGTTTTCCCTAGAAACTACAACATGGGGTTTTTCAAAAGGGGGGTAAAGAGGTTTCTTCAGGATCGGCAACGCGCGCGTAATACCTCTGGTAATGTAGGCGTTTAAGGCTACGGTAACCGCTTACCATCAGGTGGGCCGTATGCTTGTTTGCCACCTCAGTGGTATAAAAAAAAACCCTAAATTCATTTCGTGTGATTGGCATATTGATTGACCAAGTTAAAAAATAGCCCAAATACTTTACTATCTCAAATAATACGTGCATACCTGTCATGACAATTAGAGACGTTCAGAGGTAAGAAACAAACTCACTGCCACATTTATAAAGTAGTAAAGATTATTGATAACGATATTAGTGATAAAATGTTTACGCGTAGCGCCAGTGGCGCCACTATTCCCCCCGCCTTAAATTACCCACCGTCGGAGCGTGTATGAACGCACGTATCAAATTGTATGGCCTAGTTGAATTGGTAGTAGTATCAGTGCAAAGTCCTGCGGTTTTGTGTGACCATTAGGTGTTTTTATAATTTGTTTACCAGAATGTATGAAATTGTATGTATATCGTAGGTATGCATGGAAATTTGATAATGCTCTTATTTATGCCTTGCATAAATTTTACTTTCTTATTATATTTCTCTGTTTTTATTCCAAAAAATCTTATTTATTTAAATAACTTTATAAACAAAAAGAAAATATGGTACAAAAGACGGACTTAATGCTAGTAGCATTCTCTACCAGTTAACCTTAGGGATGAACAGTGAATCTTCTATATTACTATCTCATTATATAAGTGCTTCAAATTCCACAGACTGTTAACAACTTTAATTTTTTTTTAATATATAGTTGTCTGTACATTAATAGAAATATTTATAACAAATAATTAATTTATTGTCATAGATAGTCGTTAGATATCTTATCTTGATACATTTAGTACTTTATTCATTATAAAATCTATATATACTGTACAATAGGTTAAAGTTTGGTTTATATATTCAATACAACTAAATAAATAAAGCCGTGACTTTATCCCCGTGATCAAGGTCGATTGGCCAGAATAAAAAATAATCCATTATCTTCTCCATCCCAAATCTGACATGTAGACTAAATTTTAAGGACCATTTGTTAAATCGTTGAAGTTCTGTATAAAGTCCATGCTACCATTCTTGTCTGTAAGCTACGGTGAGATAGACTATCAGCTTGTTATCCATTAATAACAAATTATCTATTTAAATATTTTATTTACAATAAAATCGACACAGAGATTAATTCGTTCACCTTATATTTATTAGTGTTTTCTAAACTCTAATAGAAACTGATAAATTCCAGGTTCGATACTAGTCACAACCGCAGCAATACTCACATCAAATCACTCCCCCTACAAAGGAACTTATCTAGCTACGAAAATTATGACGTCACCCAAACAGAACAGAACACACCAGAGGTCACAATAAAAAACCAAAACAACTACGAGAATATCGGCCGTATGGATGAAATTGGTATCCCTGTATTCGACGAAGCTAATGAGTTATCTAGTCCTATAATGATAAGGAAGATGCACAACCAAAGTGACTATCGGATAGCAGTCGCATCCCCTGTAGGTAGCCCCTACGAAAATATGTATTACAATAGAAATAATGTATATGGTAATTTAAAACCGAAATCTCCAAACACACAAAGCCCGAGGACTCGAATAAAAACGACATTCGCTCATAAGAATTTGCCTTCACCGCAGTATTTTATATTTCCTACACCGCCGCCAAAAGATAATAGCAGTAAACCGGAATTCAATCCAAAAGAAATGCCTCCTAAAGAGATACCTCCAAAAGACACATCTCCGAAAGTTTCATCTCCAAAAGAGGCATCTCGAAAAGAAAATAGTCCACATGAATCCAAAGGCGAGGTTAAATTTGGAGGAATTGAAAAACAACTCAGCCTTGAAGAAGAAATACCAATGATAGATGACTCCGATTTAACAAATGATATTGAATTTAGGTATTCCAAAGTCATCGAAAAGGAAGATGAAAATTCTCTTCAAGAGCCTAAAGATTCCACTAAAGTTGCAACGCAAAAAGAAGAATCAATCGTTGGACAAAGCAATCTAAAGAAAAATCAAAGCTTTGAGGATGTTAAAAAAGAACTAATGGCTGATATACCAGAATTGGAGGAATTTGAAAAAGATCTGAAACAAAATAAAGAAGACAAGTTAATGAAACATATAACAGAAGATGTAAAGAACATTGACATAGAAGCAGATTCAATTGAAAGTACAGTTTTAGATGACAATGTAGAAGAATTAAAGGCAAAGTATGAAAAATTAAAGGAAGACAGAAAAAAGTTGGTTACAGAAATACATGAGATTAAATGTAAAATGTCTGAAATCAGATCACAAGAGGATGACATTTTAAGAGAAGTAAGTATTTATTGTTATCATCAAGAATTTTACGTACGTGTATTTTCCCAAAGTAGTTTTATTTAATATAGATATTTTTTGTACACTCAACTAAATACAATTTTATTTAAATTTCAGTTGGAAATGGAGAAAGCTCTGATTAAAGGCGAGTACGACTCGGAAATCGCAATATTAAATATAGAGCAGAAGAAAAAAGCAGAACTGCTGGACAGCGCCAAGAAAATAGAAGAAGAGATCAAACAACTGAAAGAGAAACAGGAAGCAAGACAAAACGAGATGAGAGATAGAGTAGACATTGCTACCGCGAAAGTTGAGAGGTGAGTAATAAAAACTTTTCTTTTTAAACTGTTGAATTTAGAAACAAGTAAAAGACTTATTTGTTGGAAGGAATGTATAAGTTTATTAATCAAAATATCCTACTAATAAAATAGATAATAATCTACAAACTAGTTATACAATTTTTAGACTGGAAAAAGATCTAAAAGACAACACGGCAACCTTAGAAGAACTACAGAACGCACAAGACATCCTCGACAATGAGACCAAGATATTCGAGGACTTGGAATTTCAACATTTGGAAGAGGAATCCGAATTGTACGTTGTCACATTCCTTAATTTTTTTTTTGCAATTTTTATTTTTGTATTTATTGGGTGCGTGGCACATTACCACTGTCGGTGCATCCCATTCATTCCTACCTCGTATATTTGGATTGTGGAATAAGCTTTCTTCTTTAATTTTTCACTTTCAAAATTGGGCTTCAAAAAACTTGCCTTGTGTTTTAGGTGTTCATGAATGACAGTAGCCGCTTATTATCAGATGATCGGTCTGTTCGTTTGTCTTCCTAACAATAAAAAATTACATATAATGCATTACAAAAATAAAAGATAATTTTTACTACTAATTCACAATATTTAAAAAATAATATGTTCACAGATTAGCAAATAGAGAAGACCTACAAAATGAAATCATACTACTAACCAAAAAGATTGATGCTCAGAAGTCACGTATACTCACACTAAAGTCTGAAGCTAACAGCAATCTCACATCCGCCTTAGACGAGACTAAAATTTTACGCGCCGAATACGTCCGCCTACTTAATAGAGTTGAAGATTTGACCAGCAAAGTGCAGAATTTGGAGAAAGAGTTTAAACCTATTGTAGCAAAACTTAACTATATAGAAAGAACACAATCTCCGGATAGCGCATTTTACACTGACATGACTAGAGCGAAATCTGGCGAATTTGGTTATTCACCGCAAAGCTCAGACAGCGACGATCTCGACCTTACGAAAATATCCGAAGACCATACGAAACAATTAAAAGACAAGTTCAACTCTATAGATCGAATGTCCCAATCTATGATTGTGGATATCGAGAGGAGAGTTATAGGTGACGTTGTCGATACAGAAGAAAGATTCAGCGAAAGTCCGTCTAAATCTTCTACTTCTTCTAAAGAGAAGAAAGGATTTTGGGAGAGGAATTTCGATTCACTTAAACGTAAAAGTAAAAAGCAAAAATCACCTGAAAAAGTTGATATCATGTCTCAGAGTTTAAACGAGAATATTTTCTATAATAATGAGAATATAGAGAATGATTTAGATAGATTTAACAGTTTGAGAAATTCTAAAAAAGAAAAGAAGGAGAAAAAAGATAACGGTCCTATTAAAAGCAATTCATCCTCTAAGATCCCAACGTTTGCTGCTTTAGGTAAAATCATCAAAAAGGATTCATTTGGAAGAAAATCCCGAGAGAATAGCATTAAAAATGAAGATTCAGAAAATGATGGTAAAACTGCCAACGGTACACGTTACGTTAAAAATGCTAAACCTATTTTTAGTGATAACAAGTACGTCAAGGCGAAATCATTGTCTCCTGATAAATTGACTAAAGAAGGTGATTGTATCAAGGAAGAATTATCTGAAGATGATACAAATAATCAAGACGCTAAAGTTACGTTTGATAGTTTAAGTCGTAAAAATTCTACAGGCAATCCTTCAGACTCCAGTCCAGCTAAGGTTATGCATAGAAAAAGCTGTGGAGATGAGCCTAATATCAAAACTTTGACGGAATTTCAAAAAATCTCCGATTCAGGAAAGATTCCCTCCCAAGATGATATAGATAGAATTTCGAAAGTGACCATGGATGCACCGCTTCTTTCTAGTGATACGGATATGAACTCGCTCGGGAAGAGAACGCTCGACAGTTTGATGGAGATTGAGAGGAAGAGATTAGAAATGTTGGAAGAACAAGGTTAGTATTTGATATTGATATTTTTTTTTCTTTTAACAAATTTAAAAACAAGGTTATAGAATGTAATCCGCAATCTCTTAGTTGTGGCCGTTTTAAAATTTATATAATTTATTTTATCATTATTAAAACTTCAAGCTCTTCCATTTGACACCCATATTAAGAGGGTTGACAAAATATATACCATCTGCTATTTTGTGGCAGCCACCATTAAAAATATCACAATATTAAGTATTTTATTGTCATCAGAATATGCAAATTTTAACTCAGTCGAATGTCAAGAAGTATTTCTAATACAATTTTAAGATTTGGCCTAAACAAAGAATAGTTTCTTTATGTTAATAATATTATACATTGCAATTTAAATTACAGCTCGTAAAAAATTAATGTGCTCGCGACTGTAATCTTCCGCTCTACACTACTACACAGTTAGCATTCTTACGAGAAAAAAAAACACCGGACGTCGCCGTCTCATTCTATCTCACAGTTGCACTAGCGATAACAATTCTATCAATAGATACGTTTGTCACTTGTCATTGTAATGTCATGTCGCATTGAAAAATATTTCGAGAATAGAATAATAATTTCCCATTTATGTCTTATTAGACATTATGATCATTATCATTTGCACTCTTTCAGGATGCCAATTGATAGAGAATGAAAGAGAGAAAATATCAGAATTAAAACGGAGGGTGCAGGACGAGACGAAGAAACTCTGGGACCAGAAAAACAGATCTGAACAATCCAAGTCGTTAGACTGCGACCAGTGTCAAAGTTTACCGCCGTTTGACAGCAAAGTTGACAGATCCCTGACAGCTGACAAATCATTTGACAGGTCTGTCATTGAAGACAGCAGTTTGCTGGAACACTCGTACATGATGAATTACCCGAGCCTCTTTGAAGACAGGTAAGTTTCCTTTTCATTGTTTGGTGACGCCCTCTGGCTTTAATAGTTTCTAGGCTGTTTTCTTTATATTATTCGCATTTACGTGCTCTCTAAAACTAATGACATGAAACTAATGACAATTATATTTTTATTATCCAAAAAACATGAATTTTAAAATTCAAAGTGTGATGAGACTCGATCTTGAACCCCCGGACCCCAGTCAAATTTTATCCTACTGAGCTCTGCATAGAAAATTTTATTTTGTTTTTGTGTAACAATTATTTTATACCATACAACGCCATCTAGTGGTAATCTCAGATTTGATAAATGTCTATAATAAAGTACAGCGTACAGTAAAGCGGCAAATATAATTAATTTTTTGGATTGAATTTTATTTTTTTAAATACTACAAACCTTTTAACAATTAACTGAAGTGCCCCAACAAATATATAATAGAAAATTAAGAAAAAGTTTTTTATTTTACTGTAACACAATAATTTATAAATGTGCAAAATGTATCCAATTGTCTAAAATTTGGATTCTTGGTAACCGTCGTCCATAGACATGAACAGTACCATGGACATTACAAAATACACTATTATGCGCATAGTACCCCTCATACATTACCATTCCTAAGAACTACGACATTGCCTTGGATTAATATCTATATATTAGCAATATGTATATATTTTAGTTACCATATACATATAATGACCCAATAACGAATATGGTAAATGTCTGTTATCCAATATTTAATGCCGAATGAAGATTCCAACCTAAATTAACATAAATATCCGATGGATGATGTCGTTTTTCCCGCCATCAATGCCCAAAAAAAAACAATATATAGATATTGGAGCAGTACATATTTCCCATGCCTACTACGTGCCCTGTAATTTCATTGCCATATCCCACCCCAAAACATAGCCATGCAAGTGTAGCTGTTTCACAGTAACAACAATTCACTCTGGTAAATATATCGTGACTCAGAAAAAGGGAATTGTGACAAAAAATCTGCAACTGCTTCAGTACTCTTTGTCTTATAGGCAAAGGAATTTAGAACTCAATTTATGGGTAACTCCTTTGGATTGCATACTACACAACTGTGTAATAAGCTCCTCCTATGCAAGGTAGTTCCTTTAACGGTTAAAAAGCCGGTCAACTACGAGTCGAACTCGCGCAACGAGGGTTACATACAAAATTATCATGTTTAATTTTTTTTTATACAACTTAGAATGGCAAACAAGCTGACGGCCCCCCTGATGGAAAGTGGTAACCGTCGCCTATAGACATGAGCAGTACCATGGACATAACAGAGTATACTGTTTCGCCCATGATACCCCCCATGCGTTGCCATTCCTGAGGACTCGGGTGTTATTCCTCTGTACCCTGTAAATTCACGCCATATCCCATCCTTCAAACCGAAACACAGCCATGCTAACACAACTGCTTCACGATTGAAATACGAATGGGACAGAGGTACTCAAGCAATCGACTTTTGTACAAAGTCTCCCTCTGGTATGAATCCTTCTATGAATTAACTACAAATTTACGGTTTTCGGATTTTTTCCTTGTGTTGATGTAGATGTACATGACATTATTTCTTGCCAAATTTCCTGATTATAGGTCAACGAGAAGTACCCTATAGATTTTGATTCCTTTTGCGATTGTCAAAATATGCGATGTAAATGGAACATAAACGGCCATATCTTTTGATTGCGTCGATTTAGAAGCTTGATTTTTTCACTGCTTTAAGAGATTGCGGACCTGAGTATATGGTATTAATTTCAACTCGATACCTCTACGCGTTCCCAAGAAAAAGAGTCATGAAAATCGGACGGACAGAACGAAGTGGGTTTCTATAAGGGTTCTGTTTTTTTCCCTTGGAGATATGGAAACGCTAAAAAGAAAATCATATTACCTCTTATGATTTAAATTGCCATCGTAGTGTTCACATATATTGAACTAGCGGCCCGTCCCGGCTTCGCATGGATAGGCATTTTTACAACATTTTAAAAAGTGATTATTGGGACATAACTATAATAGTTAGACTTATAGTATCGCGAAGTTTTTTGTGGTTATTGATATTTTCTTCAGTAAGAAGTAGGCTGTTCTATTCTATGCCGAGAACACATAGCCAAATATTTTGCACATATGTAGTAGTATTTCAATATCTGTTTTGAATACTCCCTTGCAATACTGATACCCTCTCAAGACTTCTTTTATCACTGTGTTGAGTTGACTGGAAGAGATCTCTTTAGAAATAAGTTTAATCCTTCTTTGCATAATGGTGGAAATTTCCATCATAACATTGAATGCCCAAAAATTATATAAAAGAAGAAGTTCACCCTGAGTTGATCGTGTCTCGATACCTTTTTAATGTCCACTGCAGAAAAAAAAACATAGCTGTCAAATTTATTTCTTTAACCATTATTTAATTTTGTACATGAATTATATCACCTTGATTTATTTCACCAATAAAAAAAAATCATGCAAAGAAGGGTTAATTCTCGCGCAGTGAGAAACACCTAGAAAATATGCTAAAGAGCACTGAAATGTAAACACGTGACTGTGCCCACGGTCCGTTATCGCGTGCTGATAAGATAAGGTCAGTTCCACCGCGTCCACCGAACGGAAAATACGGATTTCGGACGCCGACGGTCGTGAGAAAGTGTTTTAACAGTGCAACATCCGTCCTAGTGACGTCACCACTCGTGACGTAATGTTTATACTTTCTATTTAAAGTGTATTTAAATTTGGAACGGTTTACATTCGTTAGAGATAAGTTAGATAAGGAGATTACTGTAGGCAGTAGATATGCCTACATACAATTTTGATGTGTACAGTGGTATATTTAACGATTTTACCTAAGGGAGACTTTTTTTTAATGGAATAGTAACCCCGTCTGCGCTATCGGTATACGCTGGCGGGACACCAGTGAGGAATGATAGGTGACGATGAAAGCAGGTCGGTTAACCCATCGTGGCAAATTGCACTAGAATTAACCACGATGGTTTCCAGGGGGAACCACGTGTAGGTCGACCTGATAAGGTGTATTGCTAGTAATGGGGCAGTTAGACCCTATTACTAACAATCCCCCCCCCCCCCCGCTGTGTTTCAGTTTGAAGAATGGGATATGGCAGTGAATGTACAGGGTACATAGGAATAACACCTGAGTCCTCAGGAATGGCAACGCATGGGAGGTATCATTGGCGAAACATAAACTCTGTTATGTCCATGGTACTGCTCATGTCTATAGGCGACGGTTACCACTTTCCATCAGATGGGTCGACAACTTGTTTGCCATTCTAAGTTGTATGAAAAAAAAACTTAAATCTATTAGAAAATTATTTTGTATAATAAAGATTTGGCTGTGACATCAAATTATTCCATTCAAACATAATCTGCATCAATTTAAAGTAAATGTGAATAAACTCCTCGTGGGCCCGCGAGTCCCATTTTAGACCACATCATCTCTTTCCATCAGCTGAGATCGGGATCAAACGCGAGATTATTTAATAGTAAAACAAATGTTATTTTAATTTTTTTTTATACAACTTTGGCAAACAAGCTGACGGCCCACCTGATGGAAAGTGGTAACAGTCGCCTATAGACATGAGCAGTACCATGGACATTACAGAGTATACTGTTTCGCCTATGATACCCCCCATGCGTTGCCATTCCTGAGGACTCATTCCTCTGTACCCAGTAAATTCACGCCATATCCCACCCTTTAAACCGAAACATGTTTGCATGGCTGTGTTTCGGTTTGAAGGGTGGGCCTTCAAACCGAAACACAATCATGCAAACACAACTGCTTTACGGTAGAAACACGAATGGGACAGAGGTACCCAAGCAATCGATTATTGTACAAAGTCTCTCTCCTTTTAATTTTAGAGATAGGTAATGTAGCGCCTCAGAATCGACCCCACTATCTCTAAATATGTCACTGACTCAATACCAATTGAAGTCCATTTAAAAATAATTACTCATGTGACATCATATTGTTCACTGACCATATTCAATTAGGATATGTTTATAGACGTACAGACATTTCTACGAAGCAATGCAGTTCTTTTAAACCGACTTCAGCAAAGAGGTTCTCAATTGGCTTGTATTTTTATTTTTAATGTTTGTTACCTCATAACTTAGTCATTTTTTAATGGATGATAATGTAATGGTAACCCCACCCGCTCTATCGGTATACACCAGTGAAGGATGATAGGTGAGGATGACGCAGGTCAGTTAGCCCATCGTGATGAATTCAACAAGAATTGTTCACGATGGTTTCCAGGGGGAACCACGTGGAGGTCTCCCTAATGGGGCATATTGCTAGCAATGGGGTTGTCAAACTCCATTGCTAACAATCCCTTTCCCCCCAACTCGGTCATTTGTAAACCAATATGCAAAATTCTGTTTTGATCTGAAATGATGTACTTTGAAATTGCTCCTTTGGAAATGTTATCGAAATCGGGTCAGTATTTTAGTTTTTAAATTGATTTAACTGGTATTATCACGATTAAAGTAGTTTTTTTTTTTATGGAACAAATATTTTAAATTATCCACAACTTGGAATGATAGTGACTAACTCATTTTTTATGGATGATAATGATATGGTCTGGTCACCCCGCCTGCACTATCGGTATATACTGACGGGGCATCAGTGAGAAATAAAAAAATATAGCAATATAGGGTATATCGCTATCATCTATAGGGGGGAAAGGGATTGTTAGTAAATGGGGTCTAATTTCCCCGTAACTAGCAATAAACCCTATCAGGTCGATCTACACGTGGTTCCCACTGAAAACTATCGTGGTTAATCGTGGTTAAATCTAGTTCAATTCGTCACGATGGGCTAACTGACTTGCTTTTATCTTCACCATCCTCACAATGTTATCCCTTACTATATATATATATATATATATATATATATATATAGCTGTGCTCTTGTCAGTGGAGCTCTTGCCACTCACTACGATTTTCAGCGAGTCTCTTCACCTCTTGATACGACACGACGCCAACTCCTTCCTTGATCTGCCTGATGTAACTATGTCTCGGCCCCCTCTCCCCCTCCTTCCTTCTATCTTACCTTCTATTATAATGTTCATAAGTTCGTCGTGTCGTATATATATATATATATATATATATATCCATAAAACACCAGCAAACATAGCTGAAATTTTAACATCGGTTTTATGTTATAAATCCTTTTATCTTAATACGCTAAAGCATTGAAATAAGTATGGACATCCTGACATTCTAATTAATATAGTCTCGATATCCATATATGAACACGAAGCGGGTCACCAGCTGCGATCTGTATGCAATACGACCCATTGATTTAGGCCGGCCATAGACAATGTAGAGGTACATACAGCGTGCTCCGAAAATGCCAGTATATTTTTTTAATCCTTTATAATATTATAGTATATATAATAACAGCTGATATGGCGATGATATGTATAACGTTATATCATATATGCATACATACATATGCATTACATATTATAAAAGTAATCTATTAAATGCGTACCTAATTTTAACTTTACACAAAACTCATCTATTACCCCTTGAAAAACTTTTGCTGTATCAAATCGCAGCTCTAATTTGTAACAGTACACAAATACGAGGGTGCGCCATGAATAAATGTAAAAAAACAGCGAAAGAAATAATTTAAAAAGTATATATTATATATACTAGTTACCAGCCCCAGTTTCCCATGGGTGTACTAATGAAAAAACTTAACCAAATTTTCCGCTTCCATTTTTTATCGAGATAACACAAATTTTCACTTTTCCTTATCGTTTTTTAAACACTTTTCATTCATATTCAAATTCAAATCGTCTTTATTCAAATATACTTATACACTTTTATCTGTGTATGTATCTAAATAAATAAATATCCCGATCACAATAGAATGCAGTTACATTAATCCTGTCCCGGTAATAAATACGAGTATTTTTTTTAATGGGTGATAATGAAATGGTAACCCCACCCGTGCTATCGGTATACACCGGCGGGGCACCAGTGAAGGATGATAGGTGAGGATGAAGCAGGTCAGTTGTATATTCAGGTCAGTTAATAGGGTATATTGCTAGCAATGGGGCTGTCAAACTCCATTGCTAACAATCCCTTTCCCCCCAAATACGAGTATTAAACAATAAAAAGTAATTAAATAACAGTAACAATAACGTCAAACATCTTATATACTTTCACATTATCAGAGGGAGACTTTGTACAAAAATCGTTTACTTGGGTACCTCTGTCCCATTCGTGTTTCAACCGTGAAGCAGTTGTGTTTGCATGGCTGTGTTTCGGTATGAAGGGATATGGCGTGAATTTACAGGGTACAGAGGTCACATTTACAGGGTACACCTGAGTCCTCAGGAATGACAACGCATGGGAAGTATCATGGGCGAAACAGTATACTCTGTTATGTCCATGGCACTACTCATATATATATATATATATAAAATAATTAGTATGATTAGATAGAAAATTTTATAATTGTTATCTATTTATCGCCTTATTAGGTGATTTATTAATCACCCTGTACATGAACAGTGTCAGTTCATAGTACAAACTTCCTCTGTCCACAATTGAGTTTGCAGGCGTGTGCCTCGCTTATTATATAGGCAGTTAGTTGGCAGTGAACTAAATAACTCACTTTTTTATAGTTTTGAAAGTAGTCGCGGTTTAATATTTTTTTAATTTTTTTTGTTCGTAATTATATTAAAATAGTTTTACTACAAATATTCATAAAAGTAAAATATTCCTGTAGTTATTAATTACGAGAATTTTTATAAACATTCGCGTCTCAATTCGTTTGCTTTTTTTATATGTATATATTTGTAACTATATTACGCGGTTAAGTGTATAATTCTTAAAAGAGTTTAAAATTTTTTTTTATAACGGATTGGTCCTATATTAATTTTAAACGATTGATTTTGCTATTTTTATTTGCGGAGCAAAAAAACTTTGTTACGAAACAAAATGTACTTGTAAACGCGATTTCGCGTTCTAATGATGGTTCTTTCTCCATCCTATACGTATTATATGGGATGGAGAAGGATATAGGCAATTTGATAGCGATTAGTTAAGTCATTAACGCGCCAAAACGTAACAAACTGCCAAACTCTTACATTTATAAATATAAGTAAAGTAAAAATATAGACGATCAAATACAAAAAAAAAAGATTTTTTCTTTAACAGTCATTATTAACTCGAAATTGCAAAAATCTGAGTTATGCCCTTACGACGACGATATACTAGTACCTATCTGTTATGACAACACAAATGCAGTCACACGTCTATATGTGTAAGACACTAGCGCCGTGTTGTGAGAAAAATACAAGTCTTAAGTCAGTGATTCTGAGTGTTGTTCTGTTTTTAAAAATTTTTGAAAATAGAATAGAAGTGGAATGTCAGTGTAAAAAAAACTGTGTGTACTGGTAGTGGCGTAAAAACCTGAAACAATTATAGTAATGATATTTTTGTATTAATTGACCGACTTTATAAAAGGAGGGTGGTCTCAATTCGGTCGTGTTATAATTTTATTTAATTATTTTCATGTTTGTTACCTCATAACTCTATTTATAAACCGATTAGAACCGAACTCCATTTAGGTTTTTTTTTTTTATCTGAAAGGATATACTTACAAATGCATCCAATAGAACATATATCCGGCCTTTGAATATATATATTGTTTATTTATCTCTCTTATCATAATTATTATTATGATAAGCATTATGTAAATAATGTGCAGTGTTGGCACTAGGATTGGAATGTTTTAATGCATATGAGTTTAGAGTGATGACAAGATGGACAAGTACATTTGTTGGTAAGTTACAGACATCTACCAGAGGGAGACTTTGTACAAAAGTCGTTTGTTTTGGTACCTCTGTCCCATTCGTGTTTCAACCGTAAAGCAGTCGTGTTTGCATGGCTGTGTTTCGATTTGAAGGGTGGGATATGGCGTAAATTTACAGGGTACAGGGGAATAACACCTGAGTCCTCAGGAATGGCAACGCATGGGGGGTATCATGGGCGAGACAGTATACTCTGTTATGTACATGGTACTGCTCATGTCTATAGGCGACGTTTACCACTTTCCATCAGGTGGGCCGTCAGCTTGTTTGTCATTCTAAGTTGCATAAACCATTATCATCATATCAGCTTCTAACTGTCCACTGTTAAACATAAGCCTTCACCTTGGGTTTTTTTTTAATGGATGATAATGGAATGGTAACCCCGCCTGCTCTAACGGGATACGCTGGCGGGACACCAGTGAAGGGTGAAAAGGCAAGTCAGTTAGCCCATCGTGATAAATACACCTAGAATTCAGCACGATGATTTCCAAGGGCGTGGCATCTGTTTCCGTGGTGGATTAATAATAGATTTTTTTTAGAAATACAATATAGGTGTAAGTATATGGAAGGTCTAAAGATTTACCACCAGAGGGCGACACTTTCCCACGAGTAGTAATAGTAAGGATATCTGTACTTATGTTCATTATGTTTTGTTACAGTTCTGGCCTGACGTCATCGTCCATAGAAGAGGTAAGTACAGTATATTAAGTTACCAACTAAAAGATTTTTTTAAATTCAACGTCTATTTACTCAAAATATTGGAGAAAATAAAAAAAAGTGAATCACTGTAAAGCCGCAAAAGATAGATATATATGGGTGCCAGATATTATTTTTCTAAACTACTAGAAATATAAGTAAATAGAAACCAAAAATGACTAAATTTATATTAAAAAAATCACCTATACACATTACACCAGACATTATCAACGAGTGATATTGGTTGTATTTCATTGAAAGAAAAAAAATATAATAAGTCTGTAATCAGTTTGAAATTGAATGGTCACCTCCGTCTGCGATATTGGTTTAAACTGGAGGAAACCAGAGAAAACGGTTGTAAGGCATAAGGATGAACTCTCGGTCGATGGTCAGCTAATTAATATACTTATTTATTTAATAGTTAGATTATATTTTTTACATATTTGTATATAATATATAAAATATATATATATATATATATATATATATATATATATATATATATATATATATATATATTAATAGTTTAAACTCATAAAATATAATAGACAGATGTGATTAAAAATATGTTAATTAATGAAATTAAAATGAAGTATGCTTTAAGTTTTATTTATTTATTTATAGAAACACCAACAACATTATAACATATATAATTTTACCAGAGGGAGACTTTGTACAAAAGTCGATTGCTTGGGTATCTCTGTCCCATTCGTGTTTCAACCGTGAAGCAGTTGTGTTTGAATGGCTGTGTTTCGGTTTGAAGAGTGGGATATAGCGTGAATTTACTGGGTACAGAGTAATAACACCTGAGTCCTCAGGAATGGCAACGCATGGGGGGTATCATGGGCGAAACAGTATACTCTGTTATGTCCATGGTACTGCTCATGTCTATAAGCGACGGTTACCACTTTCCATCAGGTGGCCCGTCAGCTTGTTTGCCATGCCAAGTTGTAAAAAAAAAATGTATTAACATACATTTGTTAGTTATAAATTGACTTAACCTATGTTAGTAAATGAGCGGTCATAACGCTCTTGCATTGATAACCTGTCCCACCCAATATTTTAGGATGGGACAGTCCATTTTATCAGCAATTGTCTTCAGGACACTGTTTGAGCTAACACGCACCCTATCCAACAGCGAAACAATTCGTTTGCGCCGTATTGCGTAAAAATCATCCGTACGCTTTCGTGCAAACATGTGTGACGCACTACAGCGACGGGCTAGCCCCAACAGTGCTCTGAAGGCATTAATGCATGTGCCTTTTTAAGGTATTCACAGCATTTACTTTAACAAGAGACTACAACATGGGGTTCTTCAAAAAGGGGGTAAAGAGGTTTCTTCAGGGTCGGCAACGCACGCGTAATACCTCTGGTATTGTAGGTGTTCATAGGCTATGGTGACCACTTACCATCAGGTGGGCCGTATGCTTGTTTACCACCTCAGTGGTATAAAAAAAATACAGTATGAAAGGAAATAAACAATTTTAATGAATTAGGTAATAATAGACTACCTATATTTCAAAAGTTACATTATTAATTATGGAAATATATATGTTTTTTTTTATTCCGGATAACGGATACGGTTTTTATGTACCCGGAGCTGTGAGTAATATCAGTAACTCATCATCGTCATCATATCAGCCTTTAACTGTCCACTGCTGAACATAAGACTGCCCCTTGGGGGGTTTTGCCAGTATTTGCCACGCTTGGCAGGCGGATTGGGAACTGCAGTCAGGCTTTAGATATGTTTTAAGAGGGACGCTGCTGCCCATCCCTCGCCTTCCCTTAGTCGGCTCTAACGATACCCACGGGAAAGAAAGGGGTGGCCTATTTCTATGGGTAAATTGCTTAAGGCAATTAATAAACTTAAGTCTAACTGTACGTGTCAAACAAAAAACAACTATACGTGGCCAACGTTAATAATAATTTTAAGACACTTTAATGCAAATAAACTTCGTTTTATTTCATTTCTGTGCATCAGTTGTAAATATATATTCATGATGATGATTGGAAAGCCGTAAATAATAAAATAAACGGCAATTCACTAAACCACAATGAACGTAAATACAGCACAAAGAAATAGTTAAGCTGATGCGTCAAACTCTAAATTCGTCGAATGTCGGAGAGACGTCGAGTGTTGCCAGGTGCGATTTTTGTTTTCTATCCAAATTCCAAATATTTTTCCTGGGGGGAAAGGGATTGTTAGTAATGGAGACTGAAAATCCCATTGCTAGCAATATACCCAACCAGGTCGTCCTCCACGCGGTTCCCCCTGGAAACTATCATGGTTAATTCCTGAGGAATTCATCGTGATGGGCTAACTGGCCTGTTATCATTTTCCTCTATCACCCTTCACTGGTGCTCCGCCAGCGTATCCCGTTAGCGCAGGCGGGGTTACCATTCCATTTTCATCCATAAAAAAAATCCTCTAAATTGTTACGATATCTATTATTTTTATCTAACGACTTCAGAAGGAAAGTTCTAATTCGGTTATATTTTTTGTTTTGTATTTTTTTTTTTGCATATTAGCAATTTTGCAAAAAAAAAAGCAATTTAAAATAGCAAACAAGCTGACGGCCCACCTGATGGAAAGTGGTAATCGTGCAACATGAACAGTACCGTAGACATAATAGAATGTACTATTTTGCGTTGTTACCTCCGAATTCGTTATTTAATAACCGATTTTTCAAATGTTTTATTTCATCTTAAAATAATACTTTCAGATTGGTAGAACTTTTATCAAAATCGGTTCAGTAATTTGGTTTTTAAATCACAATAACTGCCACAATTGAAGTCGGTTTTTTTTAACAAAATCTACTCGTAATCACAAACCTGTGTTGGTTGTGACTACGTTTTACCATTAACCACCATGGAAACGACGTCAAAACACCGTTCTCCGCACTGACTTCTTCACCTCATGTCACTTACTAGCTTCATTCTATATTTCTGTATTCTATAGCTTTATATATGTAGTATATATAAAGGTATACGGTGCGGTTTACAAATACCAAAATGGTCAAAAAAATTTTTCTTTAACTATTTTTCATTCCCTCAAAATACCGCGAACACGAAAAGTTTTTACTCGAAATTGCGAAAAAATACCCAACCTGGCAACGCAGTGGGGAACGTAAATATACTAGGCAGGGCGGAAATTCGTTGCAAGCATAATATTTGGATACACATAAACAAAACAGAGATGTTTGTGCTATTAGTCCAGAGATAATGTTGTTTATGTAACACCAATTGGATATTTGTTGACAACGTGCATCGTTTGTTTTACCAAAATAAATAATTTATGCATTTATTTATCAATATATTCAATATATTTACCGTTAATCGTCCACTGCTAAATATAGGCCTCTCCCCATTGGGGGTTTTTCCAACAGTTGCCACACTTAGCAGGCGGGTTTTTTTTTTTTAAATGATGATAATGGAATGGTAACCCCACCCGCGCTATCGGTATACACCGGCGGGGCACCAGTGAAGAATGATAGGTGAGAATGAAGCAGGTCAGTTAGCCCATCGTGACGAATTCAACAAGAATTGTTCACGATGGTTTCCAGGGGGAACCACGCGGAGGTCGCCCTATTAAGATATATTGCTAGCAATGGGGCTGTCAAACTCCATTGCTAACAATCCTTTTCCTCCTTAGCAGGCGGGTTGGCAACCGCAGTTAGACTTTGGTTATGTTTTAAGATGAGCACTGCTGCCCATCCCTCTACCATTACGTTCCCTTAATCGCCTCTTACGACACTCATGGAATTTCTTTATATTATAAACTAACTTTTTGCTCGCTACTCGATACGCTTGGATGTCATAAGGTAACCAATTAAATAGGGGGGGAAGGGATTGTTAGTAATGCGGATTATCAGTCCCATTGCTAACAATATACCCTTACAGGTCGACCTCCCCTTGGTCCCCCCTGGAAATCATCGTGCTGAATTCACTGGTACCCCGCCAGCGTATACCGTTAGCGCAGGCGGGGTACCAGTCATAGAAAAAAATGTCCTCAGGAATGGCAACGCATGGGGGGTATCATGGGTGAAACAGTATACTCTGTTATGTCCATGCTACTGCTCATGTCTATAGGCGGCGGTTACCACTTTCCATCAGGTGGGCCGTCAGCTTGTTTGCCATTCTAAGTTGTATAAAAAAAAAGTTCCGTTAAATTTAAACATCGATTAAGCTTGACCACTTGTTAAATTCTCTAATTTCAACAGTAGAAGCACTTAACGTTGTTTACAAATCGCTCTCAGATGCTATATTTAGTTACTCATAGTTACAGCACATCTGTGAATTATTAAATGAGACGGAAATTTCAAAATGCAAAATTTACGGTTGCGAATAATTCAACAATGAAATTTATTACTGTATTGTGACGATAAATTTTAGATTTCATTTGCGAACTATATATTTTGTTTTTCACACCTTCAGACAATCTACGGAACGAGTTTGGGATTGCAAATCGTAAAATTTACATTTGCGAATAATTTTGCTATAAAATTGGTACTATGTTTCAGTTTATGACTCGAGTCTGTATAGTATGATCAGTTGTCAAGCAAAGTCGTTTATTTATTAAATATTGTCCCAAATAGTTTATTCCACTTTTCTTTATTATCGATATAATAAAATCTCATTAATAAGTTCTTTTTTTATACCAATAAGGTGGCAAACAAGCATACGGCCCACTTGATGGTAAGCGGTTACCGTAGCCAATGAACGCCTGCAATACCAGAGGTATTACGCGCGCGTTGCCGACCCTGTAGAAACCTCTTTACCTCGCTTTTGAACAACCCCATACTGTAGTCTCTTGGGAAAACATCAGCAGGGAGCTCATTCCATAACCTGAGTGTTCGTGGGAGAAAACATCTCTGAAACCGCGTTGTACGCGACCATTTAGGCTGTAGGGTATGAGGGTGAACTCCCTGTCGATGGCGAGCCGTACGATGATAGAAAGTGGCCGTAGACATCATATTGAGTAATTCCTCTGAGCA